CTACCCATACTATTAGAATAGTAACATCTTTTCCTTCAAATCGCGTGTAAACGCTTGGGTCGACTAATGATTGTTTGAAAGTTTTCCCGATTGAGTGTTCATGCAACAGGTTATTCCAATTCCTACCACTTTGTTTTAATCCATACAAAGAATTTTTCAATCTGTACACTAAATTTTCACTATTTTTATCTATTTCCTCATATCCTTCGGGTTGATGCATATAAATTTCGCGGTCTATTGGGGCGTTAAGATAAGCTGTTTTCACATCTATCTGATGCAATAACATGTTGTTTTGAAGAGCGTGTTGAAGCAATACACGGATAGAACTCATGCGTGCAGTTGGCGAAAAGGTTTCGTTGTAGTCAATACCGGGAGTCTGCGAATATCGTTTTGCTACATAACGGGCTTTATGGGTCTCTTCTTCATGTTGCCCTACTTTTACGGTGTATACCCATTTTCCCCTCACTATGTCTCTATTTGTTGGGGGTGAAACAAGTTTAAAAGTATCATTGTCAATTGACGCTTTAATTTCATCATTCATGGCTTTTTGCCATTTTACTTTTTGATTGGAGCTTATTGCTTGGGAATATGTCGTTAGGATGTTGGATACTCTATAGCAATAATCTACGGTATATGAGACAGTATCCTCCCCTGAAACTTCTTCTGTCACATACTCAAGACATTTAGGCTTACTTCCTGTCCTAGTGGGGTATCTTGATTCTCTAGATGTCTCTGGAGTACTAATGTCTTCGTTAGTTGTTTTGAGGTTTCTTTCTTGCAATTTTGCTATCTGCATGAGGTGCAAGTTCTTCATCATCTAGTTCTGGCAGTTCCCTGCTACCCTCCCTGAAGAACTTATCGCATCTTACACGCTCTACCTTGTTAATGTTAGGATAGTATAGTAGACATGCTGGACTATTTTTATCTAGTCAACACTCAACGGGATTGAGTCACCTGATTTTTTCAGGTCCTGAGACGATTGCTTAAATTGTCCAGCAAAGATCATATCTTCATTTAATTTCAGTTACCGCACTGCATAAAAACATTCATAAGACAAACTTCTGTCGTCGAGACATTGGACCAACTCTGCAAAAGCGTGAGTCAGTTAGAGAACTTTGTGTGTCAGCTATACAAATTGTTGAACATCTTCCTAAGTTATAATATAACTCAGTACCTCCATTTTTATTCCAACATGCAGTGGCGTTGCTAAAGTGAGGCCTGGAAAGGGGGCACGTGCCCTCTAAAAATGGACCGTGCCCCCAAGTGCTTCATATGCATCATTCCAAATTGCATCATTCCAAATTGAAAAAGAAGAATTAATGTAGCTCTTACGAATTCACAAAACTTTAATAGGCGAGGCCACTTCACCAGCGACGAACGTGGTACAAATTTTCTGCCCCCCCCGACTCGCAAAATCCCGACGACGCCCCTACAAAATATAGCCAAATGCCTAAATGTAGGAAAACTAAAATGTCCAATTGCGTTGTTTTCAGCTGCCATCCTCGATATTCATTTACACGTACAAGTAAAACTGTAACATTACGTAGCTATGTTTGATCTTCAACAATTTTAGTTGTCTATAAACTCTAATTAAAGAACCAGTTTTTGTTGACATTAATAATTTTATGTTCCCTAGATGCAGTCAAGAGAAGAAATTAATAACTTCTACCTGGAGAAAATACTTACAGATGTTACAAAGAAACTTGCTGATATTTTTATCCAAGAATGGAACACTCATTATAAACAATCTCTTGGAGAATGGGAAAATACAAACGTCAGTGGTCAGAAATTGTTCAACATTGAAAGATCAAAAAAAATATTTCGTGATGAAAAAATATTGTCAAAACTTAAAGATGGTGACACCAGTAAGTGGGATTGCACGACAATATGTAAAGCAATATTGTTTACCCACTCAATTGGAACAAACATTAATGATAAAGTTAGAGCTGCTGTGGACAAACTTCGTGATGTAAGAAACAACTTCATCCATGAAAATAAAGGAAAAGTTTCTGATTCGAAATTTCATACAATGGTTTGTGATATTCAAAACTCATTTCAAGATCTAGGATTTTCATTTACTGAAATTATCAAAATAAAAAGTGAACGAAACATATTTAATTCTTTTCAAGTACTTCCTTACAAATCAAATCACGATGTGGTTAAACGTACAGAGTTACTTAATCAAATCACATCAGATCTCAATAACTTGCGCAGTACTAACAATAATGAACTGACATATTACTATATTTCTGGTAATCCTGGCAGTGGTAAATCTCAATCAGCTAGACAAATTTGTGAAGAAATGTATAACTCGTTTGACTGGGAAAAGAATACGACATTTGTGATGACACTCGAAGGAAAAGATATCGACTCTCTTTTGAAAACTTATGCTGAACTTTGTAAACGATTAAGCAATGATAAAACTGTCATTGAAAATATTCTGAAAGAAGCAAAAAGCAGCGAAGACAAAATTAAAGATTTTCAATTATTGCTGACACAACAACTGAAATCTTGGCAAACATGGTGGATTGTTGTAGATAACGTGGTTGAACTTCATAAAATTTATCCATTATTACCTCAAGTTGGTGATCATAGCTGGAAAAATGGTCAAATTATAGTAACTGTGCAAAATACAGATGCTATACCACCAGATGGAAATCTAAATAAACACATTTCAGTTAGTCATGGTATGAACAATGAAGAATGTCGAGAACTTTTATCTGTCTTTTCTGATATTCATAATAAAGATGAAAAATTTTTAAAGGATTTATCAGACAAATTAGATCGTCAACCGTTGTTCCTGGCAAATGCTGCTTCCTACGTAGGTAGTGTAAAAAGCGTAAATCCGACATTCACGTGGGAGCAATATTTTGATAAGTTGAATGAAGGAGAGCGACAGAACATGGATGGCAATTTTAAAAAAATAAACACATCTTACTTAGGAATGAAAACTGTTATGTTAGCAGTTCAAAAAAATGCTGAAGAATCCATCTTGTTGGAACATGTTTTTAAACTTTTCTCAATAATATCTTTCGATCCCTTGCCACAAGATGTTATAATAGCATTTATTAAAAGCATTGATCCACAAAAATCTGCAGAAGATGTCTGTCTTCAATTAAAGCATTGTTCTTTATTCCTTCAAACGGAAAACAACGACATCCGCCTGCACAGCGTTGTACACGAAGCCATCATAAATTATTCATCGCAGACCTTTGGCTATAAACAAAACGAAAATAATTCTAAAAAGTCTGCAGCTGATCTTGCCTGTCAAGTTGCTTGGGCACTAAATCATTTTGAAGACAGAAAAGATGAAATCAAAATAATTCCACATCTAATTAAATTCATAACAAATTCATCATTTCAACATTTCCTAAATAAGTTGATCGATATAAAATCATCAAAACAAAAACTTGATGAAGGAAATTGGAAATTTGCCAAATATTTTGTAGATGTTTTGGAAAGATTTTACAACTATAAACTTGCAACTAAAGTACTTAATGAAATAACAGAAATTCAAACTAAAGTGTTAGGTGTTGATCATATTGATGTTTCATCTTCGTACAGCGAGCTGGGTGTATTGCTTTGGAAGAATGGAGAATATGAAAATGCTAAATATTTTCACGAGCGAGCAATGGGAATTCAAACAAAAACATTTGGACCTGACCATGTTAATATTGCGGCCACGTACAACAATCTGGGTTCAGTTTACTATAATATGGGAGATTACAAAAAAGCAAAAGATTTTTATGAACGAGGGATAGAAATTGAAACGAAAGCATTTGGACCTGACCATGTTAATAATGCGACAACGTACAACAATCTGGGTTCGGTTTACAGAGTAATGGGAGAGTACGAAAAAGCAAAAGATTTTTATGAACGAGCGATGAAAATTCAAACGAAAGCATTTGGACCTGACCATGTTAATATTTCGCATACGTACAACAATCTGGGTTCGATTTACAGAGATATGGGAGAGTACGAAAAAGCAAAAGATTTTTATAAACGAGCGATAGAAATTGACACGAAAATATTTGGACCTGACCATGTTAATATTGCGATAAGGTACAACAATCTGGGTTTGGTGTACGATAATATGGGAGAGTACGAAAAAGCAAAAGATTTTTATGAACGAGCGATAGAAATTCAAACAAAAACATTTGGCCCTGACCATGTTAATATTGCGATAACGTACAACAATCTGGGTTTGGTTTACAGTAATATGGGAGAGTACGAAAAAGCAAAAGATTTTTATGAAAGAGCGATGGAAATTCAAACGAAAACATTTGGACCTGACCATGTTAATGTTGCGACAACGTACAACAATCTGGGTTTGGTTTACAATAAAATGGGAGAGTACGAAAAAGCAAAAGGTTTTTATGAACGAGCGATAGAAATTAAAACGAAAGCATTTGGACCTGAACATGTACTGCAATAATATACAACAATCTTCATTTGGTTATAAACAAACTATAAAAATTGAAACTGAAGCATTTGGACTTCTATTTATCTTTTCTTTGCCAGAAGATAAAATACTCCTGTCTTTGAGAAAACGTACAAGGAGATAGAAGAAGAGGAAATGAATTTGTAGCTCATTTTTAATGAAGAAAATCAATTTCTCTTTTCATTTTATGTATGTCTTCTTTATACTAAAGCTGATTAGAAACAGTTGTATTGTAGATTTCTTTTAACAAAGGTTCAAATAACAACAGTTGTATATTTATAAAATGTATAAATATATTATTGACAATATTCAAACATTTGTATTTTCAAGTTTTCAACTGTCATTTATTTACTGGAACAGTTTTTATTAAGAAACTTGTATAGAACTATCAAAGTATATTTATGAGTTTAGTTTGCAATATCTAGCTATTCAGAAGTTGTGAAGTTCCTTAAAATGAATGTTGTTGGGTCATTTTCTTGTATAATGAGAGTAAATACTGATCTTACAGCAACCATGATCATGTAACATCCCTTTTTGAAATGCTGAAAAGCCCACAAGATTTGCTTTGCTATATAAGTATGAATACAGTCTTTTCTATATTTATTTCTATTCATTCATATAATTTACAAAATATACTTTCTATTTATGAGAATTGTAGTTGTTTGAAATGGACATGCAGTTATTGTTATTTGATTCAATCATACTTGATATGGGGACTAAAACCTTAATTGTCGTGTTTGTTTTTTTTACTTTGGAGGAAATATTTATTTAATGATTGATTCAATAATACTTTATTATAGTTCAAACTATAAAGGCAATGTAAAGTAAAATTTATAAATAATCTGAAGAAGAAAAAGCAGGATATCATTGCCATAGCATTGACAGAAGTGAAAATAACACATTTAATTGTCGGACTACCAGATTTTAGACTACCAGATTTACTAATATATAAAAAATCCCAGCAGTGGCGCAGGATACTTGTTAATTTGGGGGGGGACAAATTCATATATGCATGTCTTAATCTGTTGAAAACAATGGATTTCAAAGGAACTTAATGTGGCAGAACATGAATATATGAATATGTGCCTCCTACCCAAAATAAAGAGTCTGCTATGCCATTTATTCCCAGGGCATCTTGAAGAGCTCTGGCATTGTGTGTAACAGTTAGTATTTCATTTTGCAAGGAAATTCTTCTTATATTTTTTCTTAAACATTATTCGAACATTAGAGAAATTGTGTACTAACTATAAAAAGTGTATATTAGGAATATATTTCTAGAGCAACACCCTCCTTTAAAGTATGTATCCATGTTCAGGAGTGAATGACATGACCAGACATTTTTGGCTAATGTCTTTACAACTGATAAGAACAGTAAATGAGTCATTTCTTCTGGTGTCTTTACTACTGATATGGACAGTAATGAGTCATTTTCATTGCTATGACATTCATGTCTTGCTTTTGCTATAGTTTATACTTTACATTGCTTTGAAACTGATTCTCCCAGCTACATAAATGATTTTGTCGTCTTGATGTGAGTATGGACCGCCACAATAATAACATTTTCGCGTCGATTCAGATTGGATGGTTGCCAACATGTCGTTATTTTTGTCCTTTGACTCGATATCCCGTGCTTGATAAGTGCTTTGTTCATCTCTACGGCCGTCCAGCAAAATATCTCTGAGTTCATACTCGGGATCTCTTAGTGCTTTCTTTCGTATCCGCGAAGAAGATCCCGCCATGATTATCTGTTGTTCAACCTCAAAGTCAACATCATCAAAAGCACATGTTTGAGCTAATTTCTTCAATCGCGTATGAAATTGGTCTAACGTTTCTGATTGTTCTTGTTTGGCTTCGCGAAATTTGTACACTTCATATCGCCGATTTTTTTGAGGCTCAAAATATTCCGTTAGTTTGGTTTTAGCAAGTTCATATTCGCTGTCGTCGCCTGTATAGTTGAGCTGTCGAAATATTTCACGAATGCGTGAACCATCTTGACAGAGAAGTAATGCTCGTTGTTGCTTTTTATCTTTAATTCCACTCAAGATAATAAACATTTCAAAATCGGCAAGCCATGTGCTCCATCGAGTTGCCAAGCTTACACCAAGTATTTATTTAACAAAAACATTTTTAAACACCTTTATTATCCAGCGTACGTACGTTGGACGGCTATTACCCACGTATATATAACATCAATTTTTATCATATACTACATTGTATAACTATCAAAAAGTTACATATGACAGTTCAACAAGTATTTATTCAACAAAAAGTTTTTTCCCAGCGTACGTACGTTGGGCGGCTATTACACATGATTTCTTAACAACTTTTCAAGTGCCCTTTACGTAAATTGATTTTCTAATTAAAGGATTTTCAAGAGCTTAAAGTGTCTGCACAACCCCATTATACATCATCGCTGGTGCTTTCATAGTCGTTTTCACTTGTTTGATCGTCTTAAGAATCCACTTCTTCATATACAACCACTTCTTCGTCATCCAGAGCCGACACCAGATCACTTTGAAGCATGTCAACTTTCGCATTAAATAAATACTGTGGTTCGTCTTTGTTGATGTACAAAGAAAACCTTTTTTTTAGATCTATCAACATGCTTTTAATTTGAAAGATCTTCCTGTGTAAAAATGTCGCTTCACCATATTCAACATCAAGTACGTTTTCATGGTTAATAAAACTATTCAAAAAGTCAGTAATCTTGCCTTGCTGCTGAAAGTAGTGACTCCACGTATTTTCCATTTCTGACTTCAACAGGATTTGCTCTTCCTTGGATCGGTCAAGCAAATGGCATAAATCTATAGCCTTCCGTTTAACAGTAAATGGAACTGAACAATCTTCATCAGTGGGTGCAGCTAGATATTCACACCAAAAATCATTGTCAGGATCTTTGACAGCATCTAATGTTAATGCGGTATGTGAATGATTAGAATGTGATTGTTTCGCCTCGTTATAAGCTGCGATATCTTTATTGACATCCTTTGTTACTCGAGTAATTTGCTTCGAAAGTCTGGATGCCAACGCTTGACCATCTGAAAAACAGAACAAAAATACAGAAACATTTACAAACGTACAGAGAACATTACAAAGAAGGCAACATGTAAAGTAATTTACAAACATTGCAAGTGGTATGGAACATTTATGAGATACGTAGAGTTACCACAGTATTTAGACTTAAGATTTAGGAGAAACCATCTTTCAACAACATTTTTCCTCATTCGAGACAAAACACGTTTTTCTTTCCTAGACGCAACCTCGCGTTTTGCATTTTCGTACTCTGAGTCATAGTCCAGGCGGTGAGTGAGGTAGGTATCACCTGAGCGGGTAATTTACGGGAGTAGGACTATCTAGACCAGTTTTTGGCGTAGAACACGAACCCGCATGTTATTCAGTCCGACAAGGGTGCTTTTAAGAGTTATTTCCAGATATTGCGCAATTCAGCCTCATTTTCATGCAAAATCAAACGTTTTTAAGATTTAGCTATTATTATTAATAAAAACACAGACGTGATAAATAAATGAATATATAATATCGATACAATGAATCAACACAAAGTTTGGGGCACGGTCTGTTTAGATGGAATGGGAGAGCTATCGTTTGTTTAAATTTCTATCATGAATACAAAGTTTACGGCACACGGTCTGTTTAGATGGAATGGGAGAGTTATCGTTTGTTTAAATTTCTATCATGAATACAAAGTTTACGGCACACGGTCTGTTTAGATGGAATGGGGAGAGTTATCGTTTGTTTAAATTTCTATCATGAATACAAAGTTTACAGCACACGGTCTGTTTAGATGGAATGGGGAGAGTTATCGTTTGTTTAAATTTCTATCATGACAAGATCAAAGTTACCTCAACACAAGACATTTGCCCTGAGAAGTTTGCTGATGTGTAACCATAAGTGACATTTGCAATCAACTTTAAAGCAAGTTTTCGAGCATCAAGAAGTTGAAGAAGAGTCTAAAATGTAAATTATTTATGATATTGAATGATTAAAGAAAACAAACGAAGAGTGGAAAGGCATCTTTTTTGAACATGATGAAAACTTCATGACGTTTTAGCTACTGGATCTTATAAAAACATCAAAAATCGCTTCGAAAACAAAGGTTTAACAAAACGAACTTACTTTATCATCTTTAAAATCTTTCATAGCTTTCTTTACCATAATACGTGTGTCTACTATCTCCTCTAACATTCTAAAATAAATCAAACTTATTGAACATATAATAGCCAAAGATATCAAGACCCATTTAGGACAGTAAAGACTTAAGAAGGAACGCTATGTACATTGCAAAATATACAACAAAATACAAATGTTATTTTTTTTAGCAATCTTTTGAATCAATAAAAATGTGACCTGTAACCAAATGAATGTGAAATATCCCACATTACCTGGGTAAAATTCCTCGTCTTATGTTAGATTTTACAAAAACAGAGCCGTTGGCGCTTACATGAATATCATCTTGCAGTTTCTGAAAGGAAATGTATTGCTTCAAATGTATTGCTTGTCGTGATGGTAATTTATTAAAAATTCTCACCTCCAGTAATGTTGGAGGAACATTCAACGATGTACAACCAAACTCAAAATGAACAACGACATGTAAGACAGAGAAAATGACTTTTTACCTTAATTTTACAATCCATGCTACACGACAGAAGAAGATGAGCAGATTTCGGAAAGAATCTTATTGCAGAAACACCTTTAGTGTGACCAGACCTAAGAGAAAGATAAAATAATACAATAATACATAAGTAAGAATATCTCCATTGCTTTCTTTTATCACGACGGTAGAAGGATGAACTACAGGAAAACAAATACTTAAATGTTATTAAAAAGTGCTGTATAAAGTGAATATTTGCATCAGGAAGTATCGTTACGTTTTGTCGAGGTTAGTAGAGTCCTGTGAAGGACTGTTGGTGTTGATGTTGACTGACGTTTCGACAACCTTAGCAGTAGTCATCTTCAGAGTCAAATGATAAGTAAATGTCAGGTTAGCCGTGTTTCTTAAAACAAGTGCTAAGGAAGTCCAATACAATATCTACAAACATACGTACGTAGTACTAGAACAAATCATTACTTTATAATAAATAATACACTGATAAATATGATTTTATAAACATATCAAATGATCACCTAAACGTCTTGAATTAAACAGAAGCATCGTATTAAAAACGCTCATATTTTAAGTTTATATTTGGATGAGACGCTTTCTCTAATGAATACTGTAATGTATAATTGAACTTCCTCAATACCATCAAGAATTATATCATAAACTGTCTTTAAACTTAATTCAATTATTGCGTGTTTTCCTTAAAATCTAAAAAATTTAAAGCATATTGATGACTCGAAGTCAGACGTTCCATGGCGTTTCTAATTACATTTTAGTAAGTAAACTTTCATATTTCTTCCGTTTTTGTTTTACAGTAAAGTAACAGAAAACAAACAAAAGCAAGAACAACTAAAATTCAATAGCGTGTTTAACGTCATTTCTGGTATTTTAACTTCCATTTTTTGATTTTGAATAAATGAACTAAATGGAGAATTGTTTACATACCACATATGAATATGTTGTTTTGGTAGAAAGCAACGTTCTGGAGAAGTATCTGACTTGAGATTAATGCCAAGATCTTGTGAAATGTGAAGATATGATCTTCCTTGATAGTCATATGCATCTTTAACTGAAAAATAATTACATTTGGTAAAATTTAGGAAACTACAAGAAAGTATGAAAATTTTAACTTACTGTGTAATGTGGATTTCTCTTCTGAAGGTTTCATATCATCTTTCTTTGATTTGTTTTTCTTCGATAATTCATACTCCTCAAGTATTGTCGACTCTTCCTGTATGCAACAAGGTAAAACGCCAGAAAAAGAATTGTTTGATTTGAAAAATATCTTTATAAAACTCTTTATTTGGGTAATTGAAATACCTCAGATGGTTTAGCAATAGTTTCTTCATCAACAAACTTACTCCATGGTCCTATAGGATAACAGAGAATAAGAGATAGTAGGACAACCTTTCAAAATTTGTCATTATTGTAGTAATTGTACCCTTGTACCCATCAATCACACCAGGATCTCCCATATCCTCTCTCTTCCTCTTATCTCCCGCCAACTGTTTTGTAGCATCAAACACAATCAATCCCTTCTTATCCTTTGCTTTCTCAACATCCCCAACAAAATCTTTATGGATAAAAATTGATATAAACATAAAACATTACCAAGGCTATGCATTTTCGTATACTGAGTCAGTATTTTGCCAGCGTGCAGAAATTGAGTTTTCCCTTTCCATGATCTTCAACTGCTCGTCAATTCTAAACAGTAAATACCAAATCATTACAAATATAAGACACGGTCAGACAAGCACCTGCAAGTTGCATATACATCTCTACTTGTACGTACGTATAAAAACAAGAAATAATTTTCTATTCGATATTCCAACTTATTATTCACAATGTTACGACGTACATTCATAGCTTCAAAATTTTCCCACTTCATTTTTCTAAATTCACACTGTTTAAGACTTTAATATCTCTAGAAACATGTTGAACTTTTCGAACATACTTTTTCATCTGATTAAATGGAACAGTCAGTTCACTTGGATCAGTGCAACCATTCCATCGATGGTAAAGATCAGCGTACAAGTCCAGGTATATAACGTACTTGCATTTCCAATCTTCTTCTTCTGTAAGTTGTTCAAGATTTACGTATATTTGTTAAAAAAAGTTTTCTGTGGGTAAAACATTTCCACATAATGAGCATCAATAATTATGTGTAAAATCTGTTCCTTAGCTACAAGCCATTGTTTCTCAATTACTAACCAGTCTCAACTTCACGACCAAAAAAAGTCGATTCGTCCTTCATCCACTCACGAATATCATCTATATAAATGCTGTGAGCTTTAGATAATGAAAAAAAGAAAATTTACTGCCTTCATGTGAGTCGTAAATAGTTCTTTTCCAAAATAGGAGTCAAATATAAACACACAGCAAATACAAACATACAGTACCGACCTCGAGTAACATGACATGACTCGCGAGTATCGAGTGGCGAGTGGGCGAGTGACTCGCGAGTCAATTGCGAGTGACTTGCGAGTGACGAGTGGCGATTGGGCGAGTGACTCGCGAGTCAATAGCGAGTGACTCGCGAGTGACGAGTGGCGATTGGGCGAGTGACTCGCGAGTTAATTGCGAGTCACTCTCGAGTGTGAGAAGTTTGCGAGTGAATAAGTGACTCGCTGTTTGCGAGTGAATCGAAATAACTCGCAAAATTTTCCGACAACGACTATTCATTTGAAGCAATATCTCGGTACCTAATGACGTTAAAATCTTTTGAATTTTTTTACAAAAGCATTTTAATAACTTCACATTTGTCATGGCACAAACGTTGTTCGTAAAGCGGTAGACACCATAGAGAAATTAGTGAGAAAATCAAAGTAACTCTCAAAGATTTTCTTCTAACAGTCTTAGATTGTTGACATATATTATCTTAAGATAGAATACATTCAAAAACGAATATTATTTGAGGTCAAATATTTAAGGAATGTAGCTATGAGATGAGTGTGCGTATAATCTTTTAAATTTGGTTCTGAAAGAACTTCATTGACTTCACGTTTTCGATGTGTTACACAACGATATTGATAAAGGCCATAGACATTTAATAGCAATCAATGAAATAAAACCACGTGTATAGTTAATGGCTAGATGATAGCTTTTGCGATTCACTTACCAGTAGAAATGTTTAAAAATGAGATTAGTTTCTGAAACAATTTCATTGACTTCACAGCACTATACACATTTAATTAATAGCAAGCAACGATAAGCTTCAAAATTTAATAAATATGGCTAATTTATGACTGTACCAAATTTCAGAACCAAATTTAAAAGATTATACGCACACTCATCTCATAGCTACATTCCTTAAATATTTGACCTCAAATAATATTCGTTTTTAAATGTATTCTATCTTAAGATAATATAAGTCAACAATTTAAGACTGTTAGAAGAAAATCTTTGAGAGTTACTTTGATTTTCTCACTAATTTCTCTGTGGTCTCTACCGCTTTACAAATAACGTTTGTGCCATGACAAATGTGAAGTTATTAAAATGCTTTTGTAAAAATATTCAAAAGATTTTAACGTCATTAGGTACCGAGATATTGCTTCAAATGAATAGTCGTTGTCGGAAAATTTTGCGAGTTATTTCGATTCACTCACAAACAGCGAGTTATTTTATTCACTCACAAACAGCGAGTCACTTATTCACTCGCAAACTTCTCACACTCGAGAGTGACTCGCAATTGACTCGCGAGTCACTCGCCCACTCGCTACTCGTCACTCGCGAGTCACTCGCAATTGACTCGCGAGTCACTCGCCCACTCGCCACTCGTCACTCGCGAGTCACTCGCAATTGACTCGCGAGTCACTCGCCCACTCGCCACTCGATACTCGCGAGTCATGTCATGTTACTCGAGGTCGGTACTGTATACTCACACGGAAAGCACCTGCATAACTTTTCAATATCTGATTTTGCAGTTTCTTCCACGTCAACAGCTCGCTTCATCCTTGCCATCAGCAAATTGCCTCAAAAAACAAAATTTAATTCATACCTGCTATTACATAATATGATGACTTGTTAGCTATGTATATGTTCAAACAAAGAAAGAATAACTAGTTATACCTAAATTAATCTTCGTTTTCTTTCCATAATGTAAAAGAGCATCACTGAGTACATCAACTCTGTGACTTGGACGCATTTCTTTAGTCATTCTGCTAAATTTGCGAATGTAAGCTCACAATCTCTCCAACATCTCACCGTCAGTTAGGCCAAATCCTTCTTTACGACGGGGACTAAATTTAAACTTTTACAAGAAAGATTTAGTAAACAATTATTGAATTTTTATCATTTTATCATCTACAACACCATTAGTTATGATAGCATAGGTATCACCATCTGTTAATACGTATGAAAAATAAAAACAATAACAACTAACTTCGCATCGTCCAACATGCCCATAGCAGTGAAAAATTGGAATTGAAAATTGAAAAATGTCAACAATCGGATCCTCCAAATTCTTTTTGTAAAAAACAAAATAGAGAAAAACATGTAAAAGATTATCCTTCCAAAGAAAAAAAGTGTTAAGGGAAAAGTTATCGACAAAGGAAACAGGTAACAAAGCAACTATTGTCAATTGAATATTACCTGTAAGTGTTTCACCAACATGCATGCAACATCATACAATATGTTTATTTTGAGTGCAGGATTATCAACATTATCTTTCTTTAATTCTTGGAGAACATAAACTGCATAGCTCAATCTATAAATATGTAGAATAATTTTTTAAATAATGCAACCACATGTATGCAAAAAGCTTCAGCACTTGCACAAAGCATTGAAAGTAGCAAACCAATTGAAAAAAATAAATTTACACCATCAAATGCATGCATCCTAACCACCTCTTTCAAACCAAGAACATTTAGGTAAAAATAGAGAAAAATGTGTGTAACAGACCTCTCTCCATGTTTCAAATTTAAGAATTTTTTAGGAAACTCATGTCGACAGCTGCGCCCAAAGATTGCTGTTTCATCAAGAGCTCTGTAGCGATTCATTGATCAAACAGCATTCCCAGCAAGAAAACCATGACACTCCTATAAGTATCAATATGTAACAAACAAAAAAGTATACAAGAGCTTTATTTCCTAAAGCCCATGGCACCAATTTATTGAAAATAAAAACTATGTGGTAGAGAATGTAAAAAAATCAAATATATTCAAAGCACTGTAACTTCCATGCCTAAATTTTCATTAGAATAACAAAGTATATTAAAGCTACATTGACCTTGTTTGATGTAGGTGTGGTATAATTGGCAACAAATTGATCAACATGTGTCTGATCATAAAACATCAGCTGTTCAAATAGAGGTTTTCCAAGACTCTGCCCAGCTTTTTCCTTCGTCCAATAAATAGAGCATCAAGAGACTCAAAGATCACACCATCATTCTTCAATAAAATGGTGAAGGATTAAATCATGCAATGTATTTGGGTTCAATGATGCAAATGATGCAGTCAAAAAGGTGTTTGAGATAGCATTGCTAATGATCTTTTTACTAAATTGTCATTGTTAAACAAGTAATACGAATATACTCACTTTGGGACAAGTAGGACAGATATTTCCTTCATCAAGCTCAGGAATAACACAGCTCAACATGTTTAGTTTATGTCTGTAAATTCTGAAAAAAACAATGACACAAAAGCATCTATAATGACATTATAACTTTTTGGTGTTGCATAAGAAGAGAATATGTTGTTATGATTAAACTCTTCAAATGACTGACAAATGGTTTTTATTGATGCCTGGCATTCCATCTGCACAGAATAAATCAATTCAAAAAAAACTCAATTTCAAATGCAATTCTTGGTTTTGTAGGTGTTCCACCCCAAATGTCAAATTGCAGAAGTTCAACAAACTCTGGAGAGCATGAGCAAAAGTGTACCTCAACAGTACAAAAGGTGACTAAATATTGAAAAAGATCCAAAATTATAATTGTGTTGAACCATCCCAACTAAAATGAAAAACTTTTGCAGCACATTTTACATATAACATACCTTTAACATCAACAACAGAAACACTTCTTTTGTGACGAGCTGTTTGGCATGAACAATCATACACCAGCATGTTCATGAGTTTATATGGCCAAAACATGCCATCCTACAAAGCAATGAATAACCTCGTAGAAATTAGTTGTACTCAATCTCCTTTCTTGCATTCATAAAAAATATTACATTAGTGCTTTGTAGCATGTTTCACAATGTAAACTCTCATTTTATTTTTGCATTTTTTGTTGCAAGTGTTGAGAGAGTTAACTGTAAACACTTTTATAATATCTAGCTCATAAAGGTTACCTTAAATATTTCAACATGATGACAAATATTTACGGTTGTGTGCATCTTTAACATACAGTTCTCACAATACTTTGCCATTGGACCACAATTGCTGCACCTAAACTTTGCGTCATTATCACAATGAATACACTTCAGATTGCTCCAATTTTTGCCAGCAAACTGAAATGTATTCTTTATAATTGAAGGTCGCAAATTTTCCCATGCTTTTTGTTTTCTTTCAACTTTCTGGTAATAAGAAGATGATTCTTCACAATCATGGTGAACATCACTTTCAAGATCACTGTTATCTTGTTCCATTCCCAGTTCATGGCCTTCCAATGCACCACAATTATCAGGACTGTTAAAAGAACAGCTTCCTCTATGATCCTCAGTAACCAATTCTGACAAATTCACCTCCTCTCTCTCAACATGGCCATCCTCATCATGATATGTGACAGCTACAGTTGCTATAAACCTTTTATTGCTCCTACAAAAATTATCATAAAAATCTATAAAATGAAAATAAATGTTGAAAAGTCTAACAGCTATAAGGCCGTTATTTGGTGTACCTTGGCATCTTTTAAAATTACCAGCAAGAAAATCACAAATCAGAAAATATTATCGATATTACCAATGACACAATAACATAAGTTAAACGACCAAAGTACAACGTATGTATCTTCCACGACTACCTGCCGACGTTTTGTACCCGTACTTTACCGGCTTTTAGCCCCGTCTCATAAGACGAATGGAGTGATTTGTTTGGTTGGTAAAACGAAAGGGTTTTTCTTCCGGTATATTGTAGGGAGCCTTTTTCCTAGGGTTAGGGTAACATATCTCACGTGACCGGAAACGTCAATCATTTAAATTATTCCACAGAATCGACAAGAACGCCGCACCTGAGATATCATGTAGTTTGTTGTTTCTGAATTTGTAAAGGTATGTTGATTTTAAACTTTACCTTTCGTTGTTATATTGTATTTTGACTTTGTGATTTAATGTTTCATGTCCATTTAATTCATATAAATTCAATACAATATTTAGTTTATAATACGCTCGGACGCTCTCCATTAATTTATCTTATTTCCCTTTATTGTTGTAATTTATGTATCATATTACTTTTATATAAACCTTGTATCACTTATTATTTCACTCATACTGAAGATGGCATAATGAGATGTCGAAACATGTCTATTTTAAAAAAACTTGTCGTGTATATTAAATGCGCATTAGCAATAGTGCTTTTACGAAATCGTGTAATAAAAACTAATGTAACATAAAGTTTTGATTAGAGCCATAGAAATAGACCAAAAATATTGTAAAATTGAATTTATTGTAACGTTTCGTCTTTACTCAAGATATCTTCAGACAAATAATAAATAGGATGTTAAGACAAGATATTATATTTACAAAAAGGTGTTAAATTACTACTAAAGGAGGCGGTGTCAAATGTATTATATGATAAGGAAGTTAGGAAAGAAAATAAAGAGAAATTAAAAGAGGTTAAGTTGAATGGAGTTTCCTTACACGTTAAGTGAAGGCTTGTATTTATTGATTTTAAGGCTTTCATGAATGGAGAGTTCATAAGTATCGTTAGAAGAGGAGATTATTTTAAAGTCGTCTAAGTTGGGGGTGTGTCCAGTTGCGTTAATGTGAGCAAGAATGCTTGATAACGCAGGGTGGGAAACTTGGTTGCCTGTAAGGGGGGGTATTCCCAAGTGCTCCGAAAATCTGGTGTGTAGATGACGTGTGGTCACCGCATGTGTGGTCACCGCATCTTCAACCTTTGTTCTACTTACGAAAATTTTCATACACAACTCGAATTTACCAGAAAGTCACTCACCAAAACCGGTTTTCCTTCACGTATAATTGACCAAATCACACGTCGCTTCCTTAACAACACCTCCAAACCACCTGTCTTGACTGCTCACAAAATGCCCATCTATTTTTGTCTTCCTTTCACCGGCATACACTCCCTTCAAATTCGTACCCAAATCAATAGCCTTTGTGCTGCAGCCTTCCCACATATATCTATTAAATTTGTTTTCCGCCCTTCCCAACGTATCTCTTCTCTCTTCCGCTTTAAGGACAAAATTCCCAAACCTCTGAGATCTGGTGTAGTCTATTTATTCAAGTGTCGAAGCTGCAACGCCTCGTATGTGTGTCAAACCACACGTCATCTACACACCAGATTCTTGGAGCACTTGGGAATATCCCCCCTTACAGGCAACCAAGTTTCCCACCCTGCGTTATCAAGCATCTTTGCTCACATTAACCAACTGGACACACCCCCAACTTAAACGACTTTAAAATAATCTCTTCTTCTAACGATTCTTATGAACTCTCCATTCATGAAAGCCTTCTAATCAATAAATACAAGCCTTCACTTAATGTGCAAGGAAACTCCATTCCACTTAACCTCTTTTAATTTCTCTTTATTTTACTTCCTAACTTCCTTATTGAGTTCCTTCAGTTTGTTCAGTCTTTGTTCTTGTTGTTTGATGTAATTACTATTACATCAAACTATTACATCAAGAACAACAAGAACAAAGACTGAACAAACTGAAGGAATTTATACCAACGACAGTAAGTTATACTTCACTTTCTACGATACAAACTATTGCAGAGAAACGAGCAAGCAAGACAGAGACACAACACCAAATCAAATAACAACAAAAACTTGAACGTTTAAAACAAACTAAAACACATACAAGACATAAACATGACGATAACTGGGTGAGGAATATTTCTTCCCGCTAATTAAACGAAACTGAAACGCGACTACTATCTTACGGACTAAAACATTCCATAACACCTAGACAAATCCCGACTGAGACGATAGTATCAAGTGTCGAGGCTGTCCTAGCGTATCAAAGAGACTTGTCAGAGACAACAAAAGACGAGATCAGAAGCAGGATAGCCTCCACTTTACAATCGTCCTCTATACGTGACAACAACTTGACAAAGGACGAACAACAAGCACTCAAACGACTAAAACACGACAACAGCATCGTCATTTTACCAGCAGACAAAGGACGCGTGACTGTGGTCATGGACAGGAATGATTACTTCAACAAAATGGACGCACTTGTTAACGACAGACAAACGTACGAACAACTCAAACGAGACCCAACACCATCACTAGTACGCAAACTTAACAGCAAGATCTTCTCTATGAGAAAATCTAACATTATATCTGAACGTATTTACTATCGACTCAGATGTTCAGTACCACGACCATCCAGACTATACGGACTACCAAAACGTCACAAACCACAAATACCCATGCGACCAATTGTATCATTCTGTGGTTCGCCTACTTACGAACTTCCAAAGTACTTGACTAGCATACTGCAACCACTTACAAACAAATCAAAACACAAGCTACAATCCACTGAAACTTTCATTAAAAAACTGTGCACTATACAAATACCGGACAACTATATACTAGTGTCTTTTGATGTGAAATCACTGTTCACCAGTATTCCACTCAATCTGGCACTTACTTGTACAAAAACCCTCATTACAAACACCACGGACGTACTGCCATTACCGACAGAAGACATTATGGAGTTACTAGAGCTCTGCCTCACCTCGACTTACTTCCAATACAAAGGAACACACTACAAACAATTACATGGGACAGCAATGGGCTCGCCCGTTTCTGTTGTAGTTGCTGAAATTGTAATGCAATCTAAGAGGAACGGGCGCTCATGACTTACAAACATACACTACCTTTTTGGTTTCGCTACGTAGATGACACAATCACAGCACTGCATGCAGACGAGATTGATGACTTCCATACTCACATCAACAAACAGAACAGCCACATACAATTTACCAACGATCTTGAAGAAAACGGAGCTCTTCCTTTTCTTGACTGTTTGGTAAAACATGACAATCAAAAACTACGAACAACAGTTTATCGCAAGCCAACACATACTGACCGACTACTAGACCAATCATCTTACAACCCTACATCACACAAAGCCACCACAATCAGAACATTAACAAGACGTGCACAAATCATATGTGATTCACCGGACGCTCTACAAAACGAAAACAACTATCTCAAACGTGTTTTTGACAAAAACAACTATAACTCTGACTTTATCAAACGCAACACTTACAAACCCAACGAACCCAACGAAACGAACAACTCAGTGACAACAACAACGATACCTTACATCAAAGGTACGTCTGAGACTATCTCGCGTATCTTACGACCATACAACATACGTGTCGCACATAAACCAAATACGGCTAACCTGACGTTTACTCCTCATTTGACTCTGAAGATGACTACCGCTAAGGTTGTCGAAACGTCAGTCAACAACAACAAAAACAGTCCTTTTCAGGACTATACCAACCTGAACGATCATCATTTACAAACATATAACGATACTCCCGGGTTCAAACCATTTACTCTATAGACAAATCAACGCACGCATTTTTCTGTCTTTATTTTATAAACAAAAATGGATACTTTTACCTTTGAGAATCATGTTCTTCTTCATCATCTTCCAAAATGACTGTGACATTAATATTGATTCTTTATCTTCATCAATATCTTCATCATGTTCATCATCACTACCTTCTCAATAAACAATAAAATAAAGAAGATTGATCGAAAAACTTCATATAAGACAAATTTTACTAAACACAAATGAAACTGTACACAATCACCATTGATATCCATGTCTAATCATGGCAGTGTGTGAATTAACGGTGTGCAATGTGCAATTTGTACATCGTTTTAGCTAAAATGAAAACAATTGCACATCACTTTTTCAAACGATATGCAAAAAACTTCGTTATTGATTACTACCACATAAATTGAAAAAAGTTTTCAAGCTTAATCTTTACTGATCTTTACTTTATAAACGAGTGCGCTGCACGACATTAAAATCCATGTTCACACAATGTCATCAAATTTTAAAGACGTTGTCATTTTGAGACTGGGAAGTCTGTCAACAGTCAACATACATGGTGCTTATATGCTTATGACAATAGAAGTGTAATACATTATTAATGTCAATTTTTGCATTTGCGTTGTTTTGTAAACCGTTACGTACTGTTTTTGACATCATAGCTATTTTGAGTATTTTCAGTAATATCAGGAAACATTTTTATTTTGATTCTTAAAAGAAGACAAAAAAAACTTAAATAAGCCAAATTTGAAAAATAAACCAAAGGGAATTTTGATTTTAAATAAGCCTAACGTGAGAAAAAGAAGCGAAATTTGGCTCAAATATTAAGCCAAACTGGCAACCATGAACAAATATGATGTTTTTTATCGTAAGCAAACATCAAGGATGTTACTGTTAATAATCAGAAAGCAAAAGTATATTCGGTTATTCTCTTTTCACTTTTGCACAAAAAAGAGGAGAGAATAACATGCGCAAAAAATTTCTCTCATACATTTGTAACTGGATCAGCGATTGTAACGAAAAACACGGCCGTAAATCATATGAATTTGTTCACGTTAAAAATATTAATTTAGCAATTAGCGCTGTATAATAATTAACGTAATATCGATTTTATTATGCCTCTAAAGAGACACTTTTGTCAAAAAAAATTGCACATCGTTTTTTCTCAACAAATTCGCACACTGAATATGATCTAACGACAAAAAAGTTAAATTTTCACCTACGTATTGTTAACTGTTAAGTAAAAGAAAATTAATAAAGGAGCAGTTGTACACATCTTCATGTAACGATGACAATGTTTAAACTTAAGAAAACATGAAATTTTATGCACTAGAAAACAGCTGCATTGTCAGATACATAAGTCAGAGCCTCATACATCATAAATACCATGGCAATATAAGATACATGAAATGTATTGTGAGCTATACAATGATGTGACATGTATTTTTTTGTACCTTACCTTGTGAAACAGGAAGAGCAACTTGTGAAGATAGTGTCATTGTTTGTTCTTATGTCTAGAATTTTGTCATATTTGTCATAAAAAACCTGAATGTCATTTTCGTTGTGGAATTCGCACTTCACATGTTTTATATTGATACATCTGTTGATTTTGGTGGGATTTTCCAAATAACACATTGGATAATTTATCCTTTCCAAATACTGACCTTTCTTGCATTATCACCAACAATTAATTTCGCTAGTCTTTTCAAATATCATTTGTACGGCAGGGCTAAAAAATCAACAAAATGAATCAAAATCATGACACGTCACAGAATTTCAATTATGCATATCGTAAATGCGGAATGATTTTAACTTTATCTAACATGGCATTTATGAAGAAGAATTTTTTTCTTTTTTATACAGTCATCTATCTCTTTATCTTATTCGTACCACAGATTATGACATAAAAACGTTTTGCTAGGTATGTCCTTAAAAATTGCGCATAATTGGAGTGAAAAGATCACTTCTTCACGTGATAGTACACGTTATTTTGATCTGGTCTATATTTGTTCAACTTGTTGTAAGAAAGACTATTTAAAATATTTGTTTGCGTCAAAAGTTCACGAAATGACAAAACTTTGCATGATGAAGTGTCAAGTCCAAACGCTATCAGTTTTGTAGTATCTATGATTACTGAGATGTGACAAAATTATTCAAAATTAGAGACTTTGAGATTAATTACTTTGAAATTCCCTTTTTAAATAAAGACTGCCCAAAAAATCGTGAGCCCCGACTTTTACTTTCTTCTCACGCCCCGGATCAAATTATTTGTTTATCTGGATCAAAAGTTTACAAAATGACAAAACTTCATTGAAAACGTTTCAAAGTTGGAACGCTGAGAATTTCAGAGAAGCTCTGTTTATCGATTTTCTTAACTTCCTAAAATATAAATCCTTACTTTTTGAGTTCGGCTGTCCGTCTTCCTTTTTGATTACTTCAGTTAGTTTGCATGTAAGTCCGGATGCTCAATAATTGAAATAAATAATAGTAAATTGTGAAAGGTTTATTGGCATAAAGTTTCCAAGTCCAAACGTGTTTGTGTTTGCTTCAGTCATAGCTAAGATAAGAAATTTGCATTTCATATTTTATTGGGTATGAGCAGAATACATTATTTTACAATAAAAACAGCAGGTGATAAAAATTAAACATTTAATGAACATTCAGATTTCTTTATTATCAAGCAGAAGCAAAGACAACACGTAGTTGGTTGCGTCCTGTTTAATCTTTCTAAATTTGTTAAGGTATGTTGATTGAAATGTTTACCTATCATAGTATCATTCTTATGTCTTTAATTTTGATATATTTGTCATAAATAATGGAATGTCATTTTCGTGGTGGGATTCGCACTTCATATATTTTATATTCATATATCTTTTGACTTTGGTGGGATTTTCTCAATAACACATTGGATAATTTATAAATTCAAATACTGACCTTTCTTGCATTATCACCAAAAACTAATTTCACTTGTCTTTTCAAATATCATTGGTACGGCAGGGCTAAAAAATCAACAAGATGAATCAAAATAATGACACGTCACAGAATTTCAGTTATGCATATCATAAATGCGGAATGGTTTTAATTTTATCTAACATGGCTTTTATCACGAAGAAATTTTTTCCTCATTCATATAGTCATCTATCTTTTTATCTTATTGCTAACACAGATGATGACATAAAAACGTTTTGCTAGGTATGTCTTTAGAAATTGCGCCTACTTAAAGTGAAAGCTCACTTCTTCACGTGTTAGTACACGTGATTTTTTTCTGGTCTATAATTGTTCAACTTGTTGTAAGATAGACTATTTAAAATATTTGTTTGCGTCCAAAGTTCACAAAATGACAATACTTTGCATGATGAACTGTCAAGTCCAAACGCGATCAATTTTGAAGTATCTCTGATTACTGAGATGTGACAAAATTATTCTAAATTAGAGACTTCGAGATTAATTACTCTGATATTCCCTTCTTAAATAAAGATTGCCCTTAAAATCTTGAGCCCCCCCATTTTTTACTTGCTTCTCACGCCCCTGATCAGATTATTTGCTTATCTGGATCAAAAGTTTACAAAATGACAAAATTTCATTGACAACGTTTCAAAGTTGGAACGCTGAGAATTTCAGAGAAGCTCTGTTTATCGATTTTCTTAACTTCCTAAAATATAAATCTTTAATTTTTTAGCTATCTTACTTTTAAAAGGCTGGCTGCCCGTCTTCTTTTATGATTATTTCAGTTAGTTTGCATGTAAGACAGGATGTTCAATAATTGAAATAAATAATAGTAAATTGTGAAAGGTTTATTGGCATAAAGCTTCCAAGTCAAAACTTCTTTGTGTTTACTTCAGTTATAGCTAAAATTAAAAATTTGCATTTCATATTTAATTGGGTATGACCAGAATACAATATTTTACAATAAAAACAGCAGGTGATTAAAATCAAGCATTTATTTAACATTCCAATTTCTTTATTATAAGGCAAAACAAACACATCATCTAGTTGGTTGCGTCATTTTTAATCTTACTGAACCTGTGAAGGTATGTTGATTTTAAAGTTTACTCTTTTTATGTAATGGTGTATTTTAACCTTCTGATTTAATGTTTTGTGTCCATGTATCAATTTCTTTTGTTTTGATGTCACGAATATTGTAGTTAAATATAACTTATAAATTACTTCCGCGCTACATATGTTTTGTATGGATAACATTTCTTAAGTTTTGTTGGATTTTCAAACACCGATAAATTTTGAATGATTTACATCGTGAAAATACCGACTTTTCCCACATTTATACCAATTAAACAAGATATGTTTACAACATTAGTGTTTAGTGCAAATGTTATCGTTGTATTTTTGATTTATATAACTATGAAATGATCAATTGTCAAAGATTTTCATGATAAATTTATGTGCCCTGTGCATAGAAATTTCAATTCAACCGAAGATGACTTTCATTGAAATACTATAGTTAATCAATCTGCTGTATTTTTCGGAAACAAATTCTACAGTTATTTAAATTGAATAACAACTATCGCTCTTATCTGTTTTAAATAAACGTCGACGCTTGCTGGTAAAATATAAAAGAGTGTAATTAAACTAACAACTTGCCCTCCCAGTGTCAACAAGACCATGTAATAAACTGAACTATATACATATCTTTTAACTATTGAATATTTCTTCTCGCAAACTATCAACACTCCCACTTGATGGTTGTGCGAGAAATTTCGTCTTTAAACTAAATAAACATTTAATAGAGTTCTAAACTTTTCGAATGTTGGCTTGGGCAATGCCATTATGCCAGTGATCATCCTTTCGGTTGGAGAATATTCCACTTTAATTTCCTTTGACGAAATCCTTTCACGAATAAACTGATGACATATATCGATATGTTTAGTACGTTTGTAGTGGCTTGGGTTTTTGGTTAACTCTAGCGCACCTTGGTTATCTTCAAAAATAATGATGGGTGTCTTTGTGTTTAATCCCAAATCGCTCAATACATTCTCAACCAAATCGCTTCTTGCGTTGCTATAGACAATGCAACATATTCCGCCTCAGTAAAAGATTTGGCAACGGTAGCTTGCTTCTTACTTGACCAACTCACTGTGTTTCCTCCAAGTTTAAAAACGTGATCTAAAGTAGATCTTCTCGAATCTATATCTCCCGCCCAATCGGAGTCTGAAAATCCAACTAATTTGGGGTCATCATCAGCGGTATCCTTCAGTCCATAATTTAACGTTCCTTTTAGATAACAAAGAACACGCTTCACCTCGATCCAATGATCATTGCTTGGTTTTGCCTTGTATTTAGATAGGACATTTACAGCTGCTATGATATCGGGACGGGTAATTACTGATAAATATGTTAAACATCCTATAGCTGGTTGAATATTCTGCACATCAACAAACCTTCTTGTTTTCTTGCACTTCATTAAATTTCTTGCCATTTTTCATCGGTGTGGACATCAGTTTGCACGATTTCATACCAAATCTTTTCGATATCTTTTACATATAATTTCGTTGATTTATTGTTATTGTCTTCGCCTTGTGATCACGATTGATCAGCATTCCCAATAAGAAGTGAACTTCTCCACGATCATCCCTCCTAAATTTTTGGCATAGTGCTTGTTTTTCTGCATTAAGCATCTCGACATCGTTGGACACTGCATGCAATATATCGTCGACATAAAATCCTAGAAAAATAAAATTAATGTGCCCATTGTCCTTCTTTACTGATTTAACATATATACATGCGTCTGCATCATTCTTTCGATAACCAATTGATAGTAGATATTTATCAAGCGTATCATACCAACATCGAGCTGACAATAAATGCTTTTATTTAATCCGCATACGTGATTAGGTTTCCGTGGATCAACGAATTCATTTGGTTGAGATATATAAATATTGTAATCTATATTGCCGTTTAGAAACGCTGTTTTGACATCCATCTGGTGGATTTCAAGATTCTGAGCATTTCCCATAGATAACAGAGATTGCATTGACGTGTATTTGGCCACAGGAGAAAATACTTCTTCGTAATCTGTTCCTTTCGATTGTGAGTATCCTTGTGGAACCAGTCTGGCTTGACATCTGTCAACGGATCCATTTTCATTCCTCTTTACCTTGACAACCCATTTGGAACCGATGATGTTCTTCTCTTTCGATGGTGCAACCAATTCCCAAGTGTTATTCTCCAAAAGAGATGAGTATTCTTCTGTCATGGCATTCTTCCATAATTCTGCATGCTTTCCATTCAGTGTTTCATTAACGCTTTTACGATCATCTATGTCTGAAATCAGTGGATTCAGCAACTTGATATGCGTCTACACGAAATCGATGAAGGATTTTTCTTTCTCTTGTTTGTCCTAAATTTCTTACATCTTTTATAAATGAATCTTCGTATGTCTTACGAATTGGTGGTTCTACATTTTCTCCCACTTGCTCAGTATCTTCTCTGCTTGAGCATTGTTCATCATTTAACGTCATCCTTTTTTGAAACTGTGTCGCTTGCTCTTCTGGATCATTTGTATCAGAATTTTTGTTGGTTCCTTCATTCTGTTTTTCTGCTGATGTTACATCTTCTTCGTGCATATGGACGACGGTGTCGCTTAACACATCGACATTCCTTTGATGTGATTGTTCAGCAAAGGAAATTTTTTTTCAAGAAACACTAAGTCTCTACTGATTGCAAAACGGTTTCGGTTTAAGACGAATACCTTGTATCCCTTAGTGCCCGAGGGATATCCGTCAAAGATTGCTTCGTTTAATTTTTGATCAAGCTTCTGACGATTACAGCTTGCGACGTGTACAAAACATTTGCATCCAAACACCTTTAGGTTTGAAAGATCAGGTTTTCTCCAAATAAGCATTCAAATGGTGTTTTGCTCATTAATGTAGCTGTAGAACTTCGATTATGAAGATAAATGGCGGTATTACAAGCTTCCGCCCAAAAGTTCAATGGCAATGCAGCAGTGTATATCATTGACCTGGTAGATTCCAGCGTTGTACGGTTGAGACGCTCTCCCCCTCTGTTCTGTTCTTGGCAATATGTGCTTGTGATTTCTTGATTTATTGCTTCGTTAGTGCAATAATTGATGAAATCGTTTGATGTGTACTCCCCACCATTGTCACTCCTTGAGATCTTCACATGTCGTTTGTTTGAACTCTGGTTTTTCATATTATTAACAAATTCTTTAAACTTTGCGAGTACATCACTCTTGCGCTTGATGAAATATGCAACTTTAAATCGTGAATGGTCGTCAATAAATGTTACCATATGTCGACTGCCTCCCTTCGATTCAACTTGCATGGGGCCACATACATCACTGTGGACAACTTCATATGCTTTAGTAGCTCTGTGTTGACTTGTTTGAGGAAAAAGATTTCTGTGCGTCTTTCCGCCAATGCATCCTTCACAATTGTTTGCAGCTTTATCGTTTCTTCCATTATCCATTCCTTTCACCATATTTTTCTTCATCATTTTCTTTATGTAATCATGATTGAGATGGCCCAACCTTTGTTGCCATATTTGAGAAGATGTATAAATTAACGATTGAGAATATTCAGGATCCTTCACAGTATGTAACATACCATCTGTTAACTCGCCAACTACATAATCTTTATTATTATTTGATACAATACAATCATTTCCATGAAATTTGACTTTGGTTTCCATGGCAATCATTTCTGGTACGGAGAGTAGATTTTTGCAAGCTTTGGCACATACAACACTTTGTGCAACTCAACATGGTATAATAACTTTACCAGACCTTCACCAAGAGCATGTATCAGCGTTGTCTCCCAAATATATTTGGGTTGGTGTTTCATATTCAACATAGTCCACAAACGAATCCTTGTTGTGTGTCATATGCTTTGTTGCAGCGAAATCGATGAATCATTCATCAGAGGGTTTAATATTATGAATAAGAGCAACGTCACTGCCTTCAATAACACATGAACTTCCTTCTTTCTTATTGGATGTATTCAACGGACAATTTCTTGCTATGTGTCCCACCTGTTTACATCTGAAACAAGTAACATTTCTTCCTTATTGGAATCACACCTTCTTTCATCTCTTCCCATGTTCCATCCTGGTTTGCTGCATTGTGAGATTTCTCCTCTAGGCCTTTCATTGACTTTGCCAAAGTCATGCCCTTTTTCTCGATTGTAGTTTCCCTTTTTTCTCATGTATAATGCATTGTCTTCTTTCTTATCTTCTTTCTTCTCTTTACGTTTAAGATGTTCCTCAATCAAAAATCCTTTCATACTATCCCAATCCATATCTTCAACTTTTCTGGCGTTTAAACTAGTGATGAAATTCTCGTACGACTCTGGTAGACTACCTAATAACACCATTGCAAATTTCTTTGACGGAATTTCCACATTCATTTCACGCAGCTGTTCTGCTAATGTGGTCATATATGTGATATGCTTCAGCAACTCTCCCCTTCTTCCATGCTCGCAACGTAAAATTTCCGATTCAGTCGTACTATTTGTGCTACCAAGATTAATTCAAATTGAGCTTTTAAGTTTTTCCATGCGATGAGCGGACCTGTGGTTCCAGAAATATGTATTTGTAAATGTTTTTCTACATTTAGAGCTATAAGAGAGTGGGCCTTATCCGACCTCAATTGAAATGCATTCTTCGTCGCAATTGTCACCGTATCAGGAGGAATTTCTTTTCCTTCTTGTGTAAAACTCCATAATCCTCTTTCCATCAGAACTAACTTAACATGGTATTTCCAAGATTGGTAATTCTTTCCTGACAATTTATCAATCTTTGTTATTTCCGCCATGATCGCTTCGTTATATATGACAACAAAATTTCTCGTTATGTTAACAAGACAAAATTTTTATCTTCTATATCATTAAATTACTTCCACGTCCTGGGCCCATAATCTGTTTAAATAACACGTCAACGCTTGCTGGTAAAATTATAAAAGAGTATAATTAAAACCAACAACTTGCACTCCCAGTGTCTACAAGACCATGTGCTCTCTAAAATATGTATTAATTTACATATATGAATGACGTTTAAACTGAACTATATCCATATTTTTAACTATTGAATATCTCTTCTCGCAAACTATAGTAATTCTAACATTATGAAAGATAAACGTATGACAATTCCTTCTGGGTATTTTGAAAAAGTAAAACCCTATTTTTGGGCTTACACCAGCAAGGACATAAAATTTTTGCATAAATCTTGGGCGTCAGCAAGCATTTTCGAAAGCGACAAAACATCTTTGAATACCAGCTCGTTGCACTGGACAAAGCAGTGAATATAAAGTGCATGTTTGCAAACTTTATCTTTTATTAGCACCGCCAACCTTTCATTGCTTAAGTTCCATCAAATGCCATAGCAGCCATTCTTTGAGGATTCAAATTGTAATGCACCAACATATCTTTAACATACTTTAAAAGAGCTTCAGATGATAAACCCTCGTCACATGGCATGACGCCAATAAAATATTCTAAAACGTTGTAGTTTTCAGTACAATGGCGAACAGAAATAGATAATTGTTCAGTTTCGAAATGTCACTTGATTCATCGCAAATTATATATATGGCATAAAATTTACTACTATTTACTTCATTAAAAAAACTTCTTCTAGCACTCAGCACCAATCTTTCTTCTTGTTCAACTAAAATATCGTGAAAAATGTATCGATTTTCTTTTAAAAAAGATGTAATCCTTCTTGATCGATGGCTTTGTCTTCGTTAAATTGAATGATGTTCTAATCCTCGTCTGTATTACTCCGAATTGCTACCCCCCTGTGTAAGAAATGTTTTTAATGTATTAAAATGGGCTACCAAGCTTTGTCGCCTCAGACGTTGCTGCTCTTTTACATGGCTACTCATCTGCAAATCAACTGTAGGCTGGGTATTTCTTTTCTGTTTAGTAACATTCTTGTGGTTTTCGCTTTGGTCGGGATCTACTTGATGTTCTACGCCATTCTTCCAGTTACAGAAACTAGTAGCAGATGGAGTGAAGATGAATGGTGAATACTGTATGCTTTCCTGTATTCTGTACACGTTTTACAAACTACTGCCCTCTTCTCGCAGTGATATGAAAGCCATTCGTAATTTTTTGAGCCATTCGGACTAGAAAAATCTTCCTTTATTTTTATTTCAAAGCTTTTTGCCATCGTTGAAATCGCTCATAACTTTCATTCATGGATCAACTTTCGCCGTTGATGTTTCATGACCTGGGCCACACTCAATAATACTAGTTAATGGGGTGGTGCCGTTGATGTTTCACGACCTGGGTCACAGTCAGTGTTACTAGTTGATGGAGTGGTGCCGTTGATGTTTCATGACCTGGATCACAGTCAGTACTACTAGTTAATGGAGTGGTGCCGTTGATGTTTCATGACCTGGGTCACAGTCAGTACTACTAGTTGATGGAGTGGTGCCGTTGATGTTTCATGACCTGGATCACAGCCAGTGTTACTAGTTCATGGAGTGGTTCCGTTGATGTTTCATGACCTGGATCACAGCAGTACTACTAGTTAATGGAGTGGTGCCGTTGATGTTTCATGACCTGATCACAGTCAGTACTACTAGTTAATGGAGTGCCGTTGATGTTTTCATGACCTGATCACAGTCAGTACTACTAGTTCATGGAGTGGTGCCGTTGATGTTTCATGACCTGGGTCACAGTCAGTACTACTAGTTGATGGAGTGGTGCCGTTGATGTTTCATGACCTGGATCACAGTCAGTGTTACTAGTTCATGGAGTGGTTCCGTTGATGTTTCATGACCTGGATCACAGTCAGTACTACTAGTTAATGGAGTGGTGCCGTTGATGTTTCATGACCTGATCACAGTCAGTACTACTAGTTAATGGAGTGGTGCCGTTGATGTTTCATGACCTGGATCACAGTCAGTACTACTAGTTCATGGAGTGGTGCCGTTGATGTTTCATGACCTGGGTCACAGTCAGTACTACTAGTTGATGGAGTGGTGCCGTTGATGTTTCATGACCTGGATCACAGTCAGTACTACTAGTTAATGGAGTGGTGCTGTTGACGTTTATGACCTGGGTCACAGTCAGTACTACTAGTTGATGGAGTGGTGCCGTTGATGTTTCATGACCTGGATCACAGTCAGTACTACTAGTTGATGGAGTGGTGCCGTTGATGTTTCATGACCTGGATCACAGTCAGTGTTACTAGTTAATGGAGTGGTGCCGTTGATGTTTCATGACCTGGATCACAGTCAGTACTACTATTAATGGAGTGGTGCCGTTGATGTTTCATGACCTGGGTCACAGTCAGTACTACTAGTTGATGGAGTGGTGCCGTTAATGTTTCATGACCTGGATCACAGTCAGTACTACTAGTTAATGGAGTGGTGCCGTTGATGTTTCATGACCTGGGTCACAGCCAGTGTTACTAGTTGATGGAGGTGCCGCTGATGTTTCATGACCTGGATCACAGTCAGTACTACCAGTTAATGGAGTGGTGCCGTTGATGTTTCATGACCTGGGTCACAGTCAGTACTACTAGTTGATGGAGTGGTGCCGTTGATGTTTCATGACCTGGATCACAGTCAGTACTACTAGTTGATGGAGTGGTTCCGTTGATGTTTCATGACCTGGGTCACAGTCAGTACTACTAGTTGATGGAGTGGTGCTGTTGATGTTTCACGACCCAGGTCACAATCAGTACTAGTTGATAGGTGATATTTATGACCTGGGTCACAGTCAGTACCCAGGTCATAAAACATCAACGGCACCACCCCATCAACCAGGTTGTTAACCGTATGGGAACGGATACATTGGTAAACCCAACTATGTAAATTCTATTTCCCTTAACATATTTTTGTTCTTTATGAACATGACTCAACACAAGCGATGAAAAATTCTGCCAGCAAAATTCGACTATGTAGTTACCGTTCCCACAAACGCGAAGTTTTATGTTCCTCATAACAAAAACGTTACTAATTTAACTTGTAAATTTTTAAAAGTAAACAGTACTTACACATTACATTCTCTGCCTTCAAAATTAATGTTTGTTTCTTCCTTAGAAATTGATCAAAATGTTTTATGAAAAACGCGCTAAATTACAGCTGAGTTAAAGACGCACTAGCTAACAAGACTTCGAATCAGATAAATGTCGAAGAATCTGTAAGTGGGGAACTTGCATATCGGAAAATAAGATATACGTCTACTATTTGTTCAAAATGTGAAAAGGGGCAACCATCTGCCCCCTTGGCTCTGGCGCCCCTGGTAAAGTTCGTTTCCAAAAAATTTCTTTGCAAACGTACGCCAGGAAATGACGTTCACCAAAGATTTAGACAAATCTCAAGGTAAAATGTCTTTCTATTTTTCTTCTGGGCCTTTTTACAAATTTTTTGTTCTTTTGATATATTTAAACGTCTTACGATGTCAAAGTGTATGTCTATTGGAAATAAAGCTAAAATAACAATTTTTATGAAAAGGAGGCTTGAAGCCCCCAAAATTGCCCTGATGAGGGCGTTTTTTGAAATCAACGCCCCAACATTGACAAAAAGTCTACTCAAGTAAGCCCCGCGTTGGGGAACAATAACCTTTCTCCGCCTGGTCTATTTTTCTATAAACTTATTATTCTTATTTTTCTAATAAACTTATATAAACATATAAACTAAAACTTATAAACTAAAGTTGCTTCACTTTTCTTGACGACACGGTAGAATGACCATGGAGCTATACAAGGTATTATTATTTATGAAGGTTTTTAAAAACTTGTATAACTTCCACAGAAATGTCCAAATGCAGGACAACATTAAACAAAAATATTCACAGGTTGTTTTTAGCTACCACATTCATTACCCACTTTTATATACAACTGAAAATTTACGAACTGATAATATTCAACAAATTTCAGTTGTCCATAAATTACGGTTCATAAACAATATCCATGTTCATCGTAATCCTTTTATAATCCGTAGATGGAGTTAAGAGAAGAAAGGAATAGCTACTACATTCAGAAAATACTTTCAGATGTTGTTACGACGAAACTTACTGATTTATTTATCCAAGAGTGGAACATTCATTACGGAGTATGGGAAAATACAAATATTAGTGGTCAGAAGTTGTTCAATATTGAAAGAACAAAAAGGAGACCTTTAGACAACCATATTTTGTCAAAATTTCATGTGGGTGACACAAGTAAGTGGGATTGTACAACACTATTTGCAGCAATACTGTATTCCAACTCAATTGGAACAAAAGTTAACCCAAAAGTTAGATCTGCAGTTGATGCACTTCGTATTGTTAGAAACAAATTTATTCATGATAATTCTGGAAGAGTATCTGATACCGAATTTGACAAAATCGTTTGTGATATTGAAAAGTCATTTAAACATCTAGCAATTTCATTCACTGAAATTAATGAAATTAAATGTCAACGAAACAGATTTAATTCTTTTCAAGTACTTCCTTGCAAAGCAAATCACGATGTGGCTAAACGTACAGAAGTACTTAATCAAATCACAGCAGATCTCACTAACTTGCGCAGTACTAACAATAATGAACTAACATATTACTATATTTCTGGTAATCCTGGCAGTGGTAAATCTCAATTAGCTAGACAGATTTGCGAAGAAATGTATAACTCGTTTGACTGGGAAAATCAAACAACATTTGTGATGACACTCGAAGGAAAAGATATTGACTCTCTTTTGAAAACTTATGCTGAACTTTATCAACGATTAAGCAATGATAAAACTGTCATTGAAAATATCTCGAAAGAAGATAAGAGCACTGAAGACAAAATCAAAGATTTTCAATTATTGCTGACACAACAACTTAAATCTTGGCAATCATGGTGGATTGTTGTAGATAACGTGGTTGAACTTGATAAAATTTATCCATTATTACCTCAAGTTGGCGATCATAGCTGGAAAAATGGTCAAATTATAGTAACTGTGCAAAATACAGATGCCATACCACCAGATGGAAATCGAAATAAACACATTTCAGTTAGTCATGGTATGAACAATAAAGAATGTCGAGAACTTCTATCTGTCTTTCTGATATTCATAATAAAGATGAAAAATTTTAAAGGATTTATCAGACAAATTAGATCGTCAACCGTTGTTCCTGGCAAATGCTGCTTCCTACGTAGGTAGTGTAAAAGTGTAAATCCGACATTCACGTGGGAGCAATATTTTGATAAGTTGAATGAAGGAGAGCGACAGAACATGGATGGCAATTTTCAAAAAAATAAACTCACTTACTTAGGAATGAAAAGTATGTTAGCAGTACAAAAAATGCTGAAGAATCCATCTTGTTGGAACATGTTTTAAACTTTTCTCAATAATATCTTTCGATCCCTTACCACAAGATGTTATAATACAATTTATTAAAAGCATTGATCCACAAAATCTGCAGAAGATGTCTGTCTTCAATTAAAGCATTGTTCTTTATTCCTTCAAACGGAAAACAACGACATCCGCCTGCACAGCGTTGTACACGAAGCCATCATAAATTATTCATCGCAGACCTTTGGCTGTAAACAAAACGAAAATAATTCTAAAAGTCTGCAGCTGATCTTGCCTGTCAAGTTGCTTGGGCACTAAATCATTTTAAAGACAGAGAAGATGAAATCAAAATAATTCCACATCTAATTAAATTCATAACAAATTCATCATTTCAACATTTCCTAAATAAGTTGATCGATGTAAAATCATCAAAACTTGACTTGAAAAGATATTGGGAATTTGCCAAATATTTTGTAGATGTTTTGAAAAGATTTTGCAAATATGAACTTGCAACTAAAGTACTTTATGAAGTAACAGAAATTCAAACTAAAGTGTTAGGTGTTGATCATATTGATGTTTCATATTCGTACAACGAGCTGGGTTTTTTGCTTTTAAGGAATGGAGAATATAAAAAAGCTAAAGATTTTTTTGAACAAGCGAGAAAAATTCAAACGAAAACATTTGGACTTGACCATGTTAATATTACGACAACGTGCAATAATCTGGGTTTGGTTTACAAAAATATGGGAGAGTACGAAAAAGCAAAAGATTTTCATGAACGAGCGATGAAAATTCAAACGAAAACATTAGGACCTGACCATGTTAATATTGCGACAACTTACAACAATCTGGGTTTGGTTTACAAAGATATGGGAGAGTACGAAAAAGCAAAAGATTTTTATGAACGAGCGATAGAAATTGAAACAAAAGCATTTGGACCTGACCATGTTAATATTGCGACAACGTACAACAATCTGGGTCTTGTTTACCATAAAATGGGAGAGCGCGAAAAAGCAAAAGATTTTTATAAACGAGCGATAGAAATTAAAATGAAAGCATTTGGACCTAACCATGTTAATATTGTGTCAGCGTACAACAATCTGGGTTCGGTTTACCATAATATGGGAGAGTACGAAAAAGCAAAAGATGTTTATGAACGAGCGAAAGAAATTCAAACGAAAACATTTGGACCTGACCATGTTAATATTGCGAAAACGTACAACAATCTGGGTTTGGTTTACAAAGATATGGGAGAGTACGAAAAAGCAAAAGATTTTTATGAACGAGCGATGGAAATTAAAACGAAAACATTTGGACCTGACCATGTCAATATTGCGGCAGCGTACAACAATCTGGGTTTGGTTTACAAAGATATGGGAGAGTACGAAAAAGCAAAAGATTTTTATAAACAAGCCATGGAAGTTCAAACAAAAGCATTTGGACCTAACCATGTTAATGTTGCAACAACGTACAACAATCTGGGTTTGGTTTACAAAAATATGGGAGAGTACGAAAAGCAAAAGATTTTATGAACGAGCGATGAAATTCAAACGAAAACATTTGGACCTGACCATGTTAATATTGCGACAACGTACAACAATCTGGGTTTGGTTTACAAAGATATGGGAGAGTACGAAAAGCAAAAGATTTTATGAACGAGCGATAGAAATTGAAACAAAGCATTTGGACCTGACCATGTTAATATTGCGACAACGTACAACAATCTGGGTCTTGTTTACCATAAAATGGGAGAGAGCGAAAAAGCAAAAGATTTTTATGAACGAGCGATAAAAATTAAAACGAAAGCATTTGGACCTGACCATGTTAATATTGCGACAACGTACAACAATCTGGGTTCGGTTTACTATAATATGGGAGAATACGAAAAAGCAAAAGATGTTTATGAACGAGCGAAAGAAATTCAAACGAAAACATTTGGACCTGACCATGTTGATATTGCAAAAATTTACAGCAATCTGGGTTTGGTTTACAAAGATATGGGAGAGTACGAAAAAGCAAAAGATTTTTACGAACGAGCGATAGAAATTAAAGCAAAAGCATTTGGACCTGACGATGTTAATGTTGCGACAACGTACAACAATCTGGGTTTGGTTTACAGTAAAATGGGAGAGTACGAAAAAGCAAAAGATTTTTATGAACGAGCAATGGAAACTAAAACAAAAACATTTGGACCTGACCATGTTAATATTACGAAAAAGCAATCACGCTGTATTTTGCTGTGATAGGAAAAACATGAAAAACCAACACAATAAAGTTTGTAACGAGCGAAAGAACTTGAAATTAAAGCATTTGACCACTATATTTATCTTTTATTTGCCAACAGCTAAAAGACTTCCGTATTAGAGAAACGTTTCACGAGATAAAGAAAAAAAAAGGACAAATGACAGTTGTATTTTCAGTTTAGAGCGATAGAAATTGAAAGAAAAGCATTTGGACCTGAACATGTACCGCAATAATATACAACAATCTTCATTTGGTCATAAACAAACAATAGATATTGAAACTGAAGCATTTGGATTTCTATTTATCTTTTATTTGCTAGAAGCTAAAATACTTATGTCTTTGAGAAAACGTACACGGAGATAGAAGAAGAGGAAATGAATTTGTAACACATTTTCAATGAAGAAAATCAATTTCTCTTTTCATTTTAGGTATGTCTTCTTTATACTAAAGCTGATTAGAAGCAGTTGTATTGTAGATTTCTTTTAACAAAGTTCTAATGACAACAGTTGTATATTTATAAAAGTTATAAATATATTATTGACAATATTCAAACCATTGTATTTTCAAGTTTCAACTGTCATTTATTTACTGGAACAGTTTTTCTGAAGAAACTTGCATGGAACTATCAAAGTACATTTATGAAATTAGTTTGCAATATCTAGATATTCAGAAGTTGTGAAGTTCCTTAAAATAAATGTTGTTGGGTCATTTTCTTGTATAATGAGAGTAAATACTGATCTTACAGCAACCATGATCATGTAACATCCCTTTTTGAAATGCTGAAAAGCCCACAAGATTTGCTTTGCCATATAAGTATGAATACAGTCTTTTCTATATTTATTTCTATTCATTCATATAATTTACAAAATATAATTTCTATTTATGAGAATTGTAGTTGTTTGAAATGGACATGCAGTTATTGTTGTTTGATTCAATCATACTTGATTTGGGGACTAACATCTTAATTGTCGTGACAATGTTTGTTTTTACTTTGGATGAAATATTTTTTTAATGACTGATTTAATCATTTAATGATTGATTCAATAATACTTTTTTATAGTTCAAACTATAAAGGCAATGTAAAGTAAAATTTATAAATAACCTGAAGAAGAAAAAGCAGGATATCATTGCCATAGCATTGAAAGAAGTGAAAATGACACATTTAAGTGTCTGACAACCAGATTTTAGACTACCAGATTTACTAATATATAAAAAATCCCAGCAGTGGCACAGGATACTTGTTAATTGGGGGGGGGGGACACAAATTCATATATGCATGTCTTAATCTGTTGAAAACAATGGATTTCAAAGGAATTTAATGTGGCAGAACATGAATATATGAATATGTGCCTTCTACCCAAAATAAAGAGTCTGCTATGTCATTTATTCCCTGGGCATCTTGAAGAGCTCTGGCATTGTGTGTAACAGTTTGTATTTCATTTTGCAAGGAACTTCTTATTTTTTTCCAAAACATTATTTGAACATTAGAGAAATTGTGTACAAACTATAAAAAGTTTATATTAGGAATATATTTCTAGGGCAACACCCTCCTTTAAAGTATGTATCCATGTTCAGGAGTGAATGACATGACCAGACATTTTTGGCTAATGTCTTTACAACTGATAAGAACAGTAAATGAGTCATTTCTACTGGTGTCTTTACTACTGATATGGACAGTAATGAGTAATTTTCATTGCTATGACAATCATGTCTTGCTTTTGCTATAGTTTATACCTTACATTGCTTTGAAACTGATTCTCCCAGCTACATAAATGATTTTACCACAAAATCACAATACAAAATGTTGTGGTTATCTCTGATCCAAAGAAAATCAAATATAAATTAAACATGAGATTTACTACATTTAAATGTAAGCAAAAAAAGAACATTGTCACAACAATTAAGGTGTAAATCCCCAACCGTAAATAGAAAGAAATGTTGAATCAAGTAACCAAACTTTGATGTTCTCTCCACACACAATTAATTTAAATACAAATTATATTTTACCATTTATCACAGTGAACAGAAATTTGTACATTTACACAGCAAAGCCAGTGTTTGGGCTTTTTAGAAAACTTACTAAGCACTATAAATTTTACATGTAAATAATGTACATGTTAAGATTTTTCTTATTAAACAACAAAAAGAACCAAACAGACACTCCATTTGAACCTGTGCCTACAGAAATTGAAAATACAACTGTTGCTGGTCAGCTAAAGGAGAAAGAAAACATACCCAAAAGCCAGGGCTAACAAAGCATCTTGCTCCTTAAAATGGATCCACAAATCCATTCTTTTCTGTAAAGACTAAACACAATAAAAATCCTTTGCTGACAAGCATTTTGATAGATCAGGCATTGGTGACCACCTGACAATATAAGTTATCTTTATGTATGTTTTAGGTAGCGATGTAGACAAGAAAAATGGGGCTTTTACTCTTATTATGTGTGTCTGGCCCATATTTACTGTTGTCATCTCATATGTAGTGTAGTGAGTACCGAAAAAGTAACTGAACAACAAAATATTTATTTTTATAGCACTGGTAGACTTGCTATACGCTACGAGTTGTCATGGTGTTATTAAAGGGCAGAATTCTGATATCTTCCTTTGATTCTTATTTTTTATTTTCCGTAAATTATACACGTATTTAATAAAATATACATTTAAGTTGATTTATCCAAAGGGGAACCCCCACGGTCTGGGGATCTAAGTTCTTGATACAGGGTGTTCCAAAAAAAGTTAATTCACCTTTTACTTGCTGATGTGTGTAAATTACTGAATAAATAACTGTACTTTCAAATATTTAAAAAAGAGTTCTAGGTTCTAGCTATGGAATGCTATGTTGTTTGTTGCGATTTTGAAGGAAAATGAGTGAAATGCAAGCGCGTTGAAAAATTTTGGTCAAAGTCGCATTCTTTCACCTTCGAGCATTTTTCCATCAACATGAAAGGTGCTTCACTTTGATTTTGATGGTTTGTTGACTGACTATCACATATTTCATGGTGATATCTCATTTTTTAACCTTGACAATATTTGAAATTATCTGACATTTACCATTTCCATGATTCAGCAAAAATTGATCCTCAAGGATTCATTTTTTATCATTTTCGCGCACTATTTTGAACATAAACGACGCAGCATTTATTAAAATGGCATTCAGATTAAGACTGTCAATTTCTGTGCCAAGGTATTTATAAACTTCCTTTATATTGTAAGTTCTCATCACCTAACTAAAGGATTATATCACATTAGCCAAGTCGTTGAAATATATTAGAAATAACAAAGGACCCAGAATAGAAATCTGTGGGTTTCCTGTGAGACTTTCTTCTTCCTGTGATAAAACTTTTCATATTATAAAGCGAATATATAACAAGAGAGACGCAAAGGT